ACACACACACACACACACATACACACACACACGCGGTGCGGGCTCAAAAAATATATCTATATTAAAAAATGAAAAAAGTTTACATCCAATTTAGGAAAGATTTTCTTCAACTATCCATGCAGAGCATAACGCATTTTCTTTATAGACCAGGAACAAATTGGACAGGGTTTTTTTACTTACCCGGCACCGCGGCTTCCGACTGAGGAACGACCATCATACGCTTTATTCCCTCCGGAACAGATTTCAGAGGCACTGTTTCTATGCGCACCGTACGACAGTGTCCCCTAGTTTCCAGCCACTGACACACTTGGAGACGAGTATTGTTCAGCGTGAAGTAATGACCATCCTTTTCTACAACCTGCAAAATAAGTCCAATAAAAGACAATTGGAGACGGATTCAGCATAAAACAATCGTCATCCTTTTCTACAAGAAATGGCCGCATCCTTTTCTACAAGAAATGGCCATCCTTTTCTACAAGAAATGGCCATTATTTTGTACAACTTGCAAAAGAATATGTCAAGTAAGATGTCTCATGAATAGGTTATGAGTGTGGGTGTGCTCCTTGAAAATTCCAGCTCCGATTAATTTTTAAGATGTTTTTCAGTTCTCATAAGCCTTTATTGCACTTGCACCACAGATAGATCTTAGAAGTGCCGACAATTAGAGGTAGTACTATTGGGCCGTAAAAAATATGTGGCACAATTTATCCTCAAATATCTCTTTCACGGGAGAATCAATGTCACCAATATTTTACACTGCTGTTTGTATCAATGTCTTACTTATATTTTTCCCACAACCTTTTCTTCATAAATTTGTATAAAACACTATACATTTCCGTCACGCAGAAAACAGGATTGTTCACAGTACGTCCAGCTTCTCGCACACTTTTTGCATACGACTATGGCCTACGTCACAGCTCTCTCTCTCTCTCTCTCTCTCTCTCTCTCTCTCTCTCTCTCTCTCTGCCTCTCTCTCTCTCTCATTCTTTCATTATTTGTTCTTCTCTTAAGGGTCTCTACGGGTAGACGGCATCAACGCAAATCCAGACTATAATAGAAGTGAATCAGTCCAAGTTGGCTTAAGTGATCTAAACGGTGTCAAAAAGCGTGTGTAAACACCTACACAAAAAAATCTCGAGAACAGCTTTTAAAAAATTAAAACAAAGCACGTGAAACAAACTCCTGACGTTTGACGAAATTGCTAAAAAATAAAAGCATTTATGAATTGGGCAGAAATAAAAATGAATGATTTGAAATTTTCCAGTTTAAAGAGGGATGTACAAAAGAGTAACAAACACAAAGTAGAAGGAGGGGAGATAAAGATGGTCGATGTTTGATAGGAAAGAAGAAGCAAACCACACCAGAGCACCCGCCAACCACCCACAAGTAGGTCATATAAGTGCCGAAGATTCAGATGTTACAAAGAGTAACAAATACAAAATCAAGCTCGAGAGAAAAGAACTAAGGCGTCCGATGAGAAAGAAGGAGCAATTCACATGAGAGCAACCCGCCAACCACCCACATACGCGCAAGTGGCCAATGTCATTGCAGGCTTACCACTGACAGGAATCTGAAGGGTCTCTCATTCTTTTTTTTAAATGATAGAATACGGATTCTCTCTCTCTCTCTCTCTCTCTCTCTCTCTCTCTCTCTCTCTCTCTCTTTCTCTCTCTCTATCTCTATCTCTCTCTCTCTCTCTCACTCTCACTCTCCCTCTCTTTCTTTCTCTCTCTATCTATCTATCTATCTATCGATCTATGTCTTCCTCTCTCTCTATCTCTCTCTTTCTCT